TCATTTTTCCTTCTAGTTATAAAGAAAATACCAGTTTTCTGAAGTGTCTCAGTTTTCTGAAAATGTGGGCCAATAGATACCTTCAGGACAAACAACTCTGACAGAAATATATAATGTTTAGAGGTTTCCCCTTTGTTACACTCCTCATTACTATGAGACATGCAAAGTGGGAGTTCCCTGCTGAATATGTTCAAAAGAACAGGTTCTAAATAAAAAAATCCATGTTCAGGAGGATAGTCAGCGGTTTTTCATCACTGGATGCTGATATCCTATCCGAACCTGCCTGTCTCCTTAAAGGACCCTTGATGAGATGAAGGTGTTCCATGATGCATTTTTTTGGCAAGCTTGTAATGTATTATTTATTAATGTAGCTTCTTCCAAATATTAATAATATATGTTCTTCCACTTCTACTGTGAATTTTTTTTTTCAGATTAACTGAGTTCAGAAAATAAATTTAAACTTTTTTCTGTGATAATTAGTATCTTCTTATTTGATAAGGTAAGCTATAGTGTGGCATCTTTGGTATAAGCCCTTTGGGAAACTGTGGTCATGATTATGTGATGCAAAAACATTCACTCTGCAGCAGTTAGTGTTAAAGGATGTTCAGTCCCTTTTTTCAGTCTGTACTTGGACTTCCTGACTTTGTGACCAACGATGAGTCATGTGATACTAGAGGTCTCAACTCCCAGCAACAGCGAGGGCTCTTTGGGTGTTGCCAGACCTGACCCTGGCACCTACCTGGACCTGACTTTAAAGGCTTATTTTTCACATAAACTAAAATTCTGCACAAGTATCCTTTTAGCTATGGTAGTCAAGCAAATGACAAACTCCATCTCCTGGCAGGTAGTTACTCTGAATCATTGCAATGTTTTCAAAGAGCAAAACTGAAAAATACAGTTACTATATTAGAAATAAAATTCATATTCAACTTTTTTTCCATCAATTATTTTTGTTTCACTGTAATTAGCCTTGTGAATTTCAGGCACATTAGACATCATTTCACATAGTGCTTAACCAAATGGGACTGGCTAAGTAAATCCCCATTGATCAGGATTTTTGCATTTACTATTTTGATTAAGCACAAATCCTTAGTTTACGCGAATATACATATGTTGCCTGTAACACAACCCAAAAGAAAAGAATGTTTCGGGTAACTGTCAGCCTTGATCAAGCTTGTTCTGATACACTGGAGTCTCCAAACTGACATTTTAGCTTGTAAGCCATCCTAAAATTTTATTATTTTCAATATCAACACGAACCTCCAATATTACTCTCTTCTGTTTTGTTGAGAGTCACTGCTATAATTTGGCTTCTGTGACATTTGATATAATAGAAAGAAAAGGTTTTCAACCCTACTAGCATGCAAAGCACAGGACAAGGTTGGTCTATTGTGTTTTTTTCTTCTCTTTCATAGCAACAATTGGGCAAAGATGTCATAACTACAGTGCATGCATTAAATGAGACCTCAAGGCTATCTTCTTCAAAGAGGATGATATATTCCATGATTTCTGTGTCATGAAAACTGACATTATGTGAGACTTGTGTATTTTTTGCAACACCATAGTAGATGAAAGTATACAATAAACCAGAAAATTACTAAAGGCCCCTAACAGCAAAGAAAGTAAAATATACAACTGAAAGTCAGACACTGGAAAGAACATTGGGCCCAAGAAACTTGAGTTTTTCAGTTTCCAGGCAGTTACATTATTTCCTCTTGCACCCGTGGTACCCTTCCAGCAGCAGGGGTTCCAGCTGAAAGGAAGGAGGAGACTGCAGTGGTGGGCAGTTTAACAAGCATTGAGGACAAGGAAAGTGGGAATGTTGATTCAAGGTGACCCTCTGGGATGATTTGCTTGTTGACCAGATTTGAAGCATCTCACAAGAGTTTTGACAGGATGTCAGGAAACACAAGGAGGAGCCAATGGCTGTAGTCCATGTGAGCTCTGACAAAATAAGGTAAGACTGGACACAGGTCTTAGGGTTGGAATTTAGGCTGGCAAGCGAAAGCCGAAGTTAAGGATGTTCATAGTAGCATAAACTGAAATTGTCTTACTACGTACAATGAGGGAGAGAAAGGTGGAAAGGCAAAGCTTTAAATGCCTGGCTGAGAAAAAGGTGTGAGGAGAAAGGATTCACACTATTGGAAAATAGGGGTGCTTGGTAAAGACTTGGTGCCCATAAAGAAGATGCAAAATTAATTTCGGCCATAGAAGAAACAGGCTTCAGAAAGTTTAAAACTTTCCTATGACCATTGTAATTCAGGCTGAAAAGTTGAGGAAAATTTGCAGGTGTTGGAAAGCACACAATTCAAAGAAATGCAAAAGTACGCAGTTCAGATAAAGGGTGCAGCCATCAGAATTCTGCATCCTTCACTGAAGAATACTACAAAAGGTGATGGTAGTCCAGTAGGAAATGCAGAAATGGTAGATCATACAGAACCAAACTAGGGTCCAGTAAAGCGGAGAAAGCAAACCACAATATAAAACCAAGGGTTAAAATGGGAACTAGTATGGGTAGCTTTAATGCCTAACGCTAAACAAGAATATCAGTATAACAGGCATGCTCAAAATCTGTGGGAAAGAAGAAAATCAGTCAGGCAGCGCAGTACCAAGGAAGGGCAAAGTAGACCTTATCAGTGGAGGAATAATGATGGTTGTCAAAGGAAGCTCTAAGTCAAATAAGACTTAAAGAAGAGAACAGTATTAACACTAGCCAGTCAGAAAAAGTTCTTCAATTCTTCTAAATTTTACAGCAACCATAATGAGTTTAAATGCAATACCTGTGCAGGAGCAATAAGAGCCAAAATTACATGATGGTTGCCCTCAGTTAAATAAAAATAAAAATTAAAAAAAAAAAAAGGAAATAAACAAAACTGAGGGATATTGCCTTAAAAATCTGAATGGGATAGATGAGATAGCTAAATCACTGTGGGTGCTGTGGATGCTATCTAGGGCCACCATTTTGAAGACCCACAGCAAAGTGCTTAAAAAGCAAATCAGTAAGGGTAAACAACATAGCTAATAAAAGCAAGAATGCATCTTTCAAAAAAATGAAGTTGTGTCTCAGGGAGGACAATAGAAAGAACTATAAAATCTGCTTTACCTATAAAACCACAATAAAGAAGATGAAAAAAATGAGTTTGAATAAATCTCTGGCAAACAAGCTAATAATAATTGTCTTTTAAACACATCTGGAGGCAAAAGTCTGAGAGGAACTGTGTAAAGCCAACCCAGAACTGAGATATAGAAGAAGTGCTCAGAGAAGGTAAGATCACAAATGTAAATCTTAATATATCTTTTTCTTTGTGTTCAGTGTAGAATAGCTGGGTAATTTTTCTATCCTGGAACCCTTCTTTATGGGGGACTCATGAGAAGGTTAAATTAGCTATAGAAGCAGTTGTGGAACGAACAGACACAACAGTAACAAATCATTTGGATTAGGTGCTACATGCCCAAGAGCCTGAAGGATGAAATAAGTGAACTATTATGATGTGCAATATTTTGCTTCAAACCACTGTGGCACATGAAGGCTTGGAGGTGCTAATATAACACTGATTTTTTTCCCCAAAGATTTCCAGGGAGTTCAGGGGAGCTAGGGATGGATATGACTGACATGCACATGGCAAAGGAGTAGGAGCAGGATTAATGGACTCATGGAGAATATCCCATATTGGAAAAAACACAGTTTTTCTAAATAAAGGTCATATTTTGCAACATTTTCTGAATTCCTTAAAGAGGTAAAGAGGTCAACATGCAGGTAGATACATAGGGATAGATTCAAAACAAATGAGGGGAAGCTGTTTGCTGTGCAATATATGATTAATCTGTGCACCTCACTAACATAGGATGTTGTGGACTTTGAAATTTTACGTAAGTTTCAAAGCAATGGGGCAACTTGCTGTAAGAAAAATACATTGAGGGTTCTTAAATATAAAGGCACCATCTGGTCTAAAAATTGTTAGAAACTGAGGAAAAGTTCTGGAATATTGTTTGGACTGTTCTTATGTATATCCCTCTAGATGTCAGTGTGAGAGACAAGAAGGCGGGGCCAGATGGATCTTTATCTTAACATGGTCATTTTTACATGCATGCAGAAATGCAATATATTTTCATAATGAGGAAAAGAAGAAGAAGAATTTTTATATGAGAGAAAACTGTGAAGTTTCAGGTGTGGTTTGGTACCTGAGGAGCATTTATAATACATAAAGTGGGATTACAATTCATGTGCAAGAAAAGAGATACAAAGTAAAAAGCTGCCATGATCTTACTGCCATTTCATATGAATGTTCTAATATGAATGTGTCTTATTAACAACTTTTAGCAGCTAATTGTTTTGGCATAGTTATCAAGGTTTATGCTTGATTAGTGTCTGCATTTCAAAGGTACAGAATATACAAAACCTCAGTAAATTTAAGGAGAGCAGTGACAATCCTGCTAATCATACACAGACTATGAAACTCTTTAAATTAGCATACTTCTGAAAAGCCTCATTTAAACTAATTGATATGAAATGTTAGAAACTGTCAGTGGATGATCGCTATTTTGAGGCTGTAAGTGTTTTCAAGGACAGATATAATCTTCTGGGCCAAAATCTGTAAAAAAAATCTGTTCCTGATTATCATAACAACAATGCTTAGCATGAGCCAGTTCTGTCTTTGGTACCTGGAAGTCTCAGATTATAACCTTTTGTCATTTGAAGGGGACCATCCAGTTTCCCTTGAAAAATAGTATTTCCCAAATAATTTTTAAAGTGTAAATGAAATGAACTCTTAGGCTCAGGCTGGTCCTGTGGAATGGTGACATATTTCCTCTTAAACATTCAAAACTCATACTTTCAAATTGAGCTTTATATTATTTAAAAAAACAACAGTATATTCTAAACCTTTTTCATCATATACTGTTCTTCTTCCTGGATCTCAATTCCTTATCTAAAGGATTTTTCACATTAATACTTTCAGTCATGCTTGTTTGAAAATTAATGCATTTGGAATACAACATACTCTTAGGAAATCTGGGTGGGTTGTCGTTGACATCCGTGAGAGTAATGTTTACAGTGGTAGTACCAGCTAGTCCTCCCAGCTGTCCTCCCATGTCCTTGGCTTGGATTAGAACTTGATATTGTTCTTTCACTTCTCTGTCCATATTTGGCAAAGCTGTTCTTATTACACCTACGAGAAGAAATGGGAAAGGGAAAGAATAAGTAAACAAAGGGCTGTGATTGTCTACTATTACATTTTAATACTGAATCTCCTGGAGCAGGAAT